TGCCTTTCTGTCCAAAACTAAAAAAATTAAAAAAAAAAAAAAAAACACAGAAGATTGTAATAGCGGAGTCAAGCTAAGTAAGAACAAGGAGTTGAAATTAAACTGGCAAACATAAAAAATTAATTGGGGACAGGAAAGGTAAATGACTATTTGGAGATGAAGCATGCATGTTGCAGACAGCTGTCCCTAGCCTAGTTAGAACACATTTATAGCAGCTTCTGCAGAGAAATGTCCATATGGTTTTAGTGGCAAGAACGTGTGTTCACTGCAGCTGTTGACTATTTTTAAGCCACCAAAAACCAGCAGGTCACCAAATTATCCCAATACAGTCCCCTAAGGCTACAGAAAAGGAGATGAATTCAACAGAATGAGACCCTAAATTATCCGGTGGATGATTCATCTATAGCATCTTTCTAAAACTTAAAAGATATTATTGAACATGCCAAGCTTGAAAAGGAACCAGCTAAGACTCTAATTAGGCAAAAATCTGATCAGTTTTAAATTATTACCTTACATGCCTTTGTATGGCAGATGCATATCAGTCTTTCTATTTAGTAGGGCTGCAACAACTAATTGAATAGATAATTGATGAGAATAGTTGGCAACTATTCTCATTATCGATTAGTTGGTGGGGAGGGGGAGAGAAAGATTTTTTTTTCCTAATGCAACTAATAGAAAAAAAAATAAAAAAAATCGGACAAATCGATTATGAAAACAATCTTTAGTAGCAGCTCTACTATTTAGCTTTATTTAGTATAAGCGTGTCAATCTCTTGAGCCTGGAGATACCTATCAACTGCCTGACCTTCCCTACCAAAACACCCAGAAGCTGCAAGTCAGGTCAGGACACTGAAGCAACAAAGACTATCAGACTTGAAGTTACTTTTCATCCCCTGACAAGCTGAGAAACCGTATCAAAGTAACTATAGCTAAATAAGAAGCCACCATATCTTAAATTGCAAAAATTATAATAGAAGGCTGAATATTAAGATTCTTGCGTAAGCCCCGTCATGATTAGTTTCAGAAAAAGGACAAGAAATGTGGAACCCGAGCCACTGGGACAGGAAAGCTCTGTTAGAATCTAAAATCTTCACTGAGTATCTAACCCTCCCCACTACTAGACTGGTTTTCATTGCCATGAAAAGTGCATGGAATTTTCAATGGAGACCGACAGCAAAACAAAAAACCCCAGACAACATCATCACATAATGTAAAATATATGTGTCCATCATGCTGATGTAATATTAGGACTTAGCAGAGCACAGCATAGTTCCCAGGGACGACCAATGATCTTAACAGCAAAGGCAGAACCCCGGCCAGAGTTTTATTGGAGCCTGCACACGCATTAGCAAGATTTACACATCCCTATCACATTCTCTAAACTAAAAAAGTTTTAAATGTTACACCAGCAAAGCCATGGGAGGAAACAAGTGAATGGATGACAGAGCAGGTCTCTTACCTTGCCGAGGGAACTGTTCAGCTAGCTTGCGGAGACTTGTGAGGCTGTCAGCACCCAGCTGACTTAGGATCCCAGGGAGCATTTCTGTGATCTGCTTGGACTCTGCATGGCCGGTGATGGCAAATGTGTTGGCGGAGAGGGATGCTTGGACCTTGGGATTGTTAAAGTGGATAACTGTGCCATCATCTTTGATCATATTTACCTGCAACAGAAAGAAAATTAGTTTTACTCCTACAGTATCCCTTTAATCTCTGTTCGGGGACTATTTTTATGGATATTTGTGTCTTTTTATGTTGTTTATGTCATATCACTTGAATAAAAAAATATTCTCCATTATTAAGATATATAATTGTGCAATAACTGGATGACAAATAATTTCTTAACTGACCAGCGCAGAAAGGCTGTGCAATGATACCCCACCCTACTTTTTACCTGGGATAAAAATAGCACAAGATATTTGCTTATCAGGCTGGACAGATGTAGACTTCCCCATACACTTGATCCCAAACATTACCTCTTCAATGCCGGCGATATTATTTACTGCCAGTTTCTTGAGAGAACTCTGAAGTTTCTTGTCGTCTGCTGTTGCTGTTCTATGTACAACCTTCTTCTTTCTGCGGGCTGTGCCCTAAAGAAAAGCAAAAATCAGCAGTGATTAGGTGTTGCATGCAAGAACTCAATACAGAGAGGAAGTCATAGGGAACATTAACTTTTGCTGCAGCGCCAATAAAGCAAGTATAAGGAATAGGTTAAAGTGACTGTTGCTTGGTTAAAATGACTCAAATAGGAAGGACCTGCAACAGAAGAATCTTGATACTCATCTGCCCCTCTAGCCGTTCCTCAGATCTTTGCTTTGTTTAATAGATACACCTCAAGAACATTCACATTTACGGCTTCTGGGAGCATTCGATACCTGCATCCGCAAGATGTGGTTCTTTCCTGGCACCTATGTCCTGTGGGGATGTAGGTGCCTGCGGAGGGAACCACAGAGAGCGGCGAGAGACCAACAGAAGGCTGTTGCTCTGCAGTAATGCCAATCTGAACAGCCACAGGAAGGACAGGCTCGTATAAAGCAAATTCTTTAGTAGTTCCTACTTTATTACATCGTTTTAACCAAGCAACAGAGTCACTTAAAAATCACACAAGTTTATCTTATTTTAAAGTTGGGCTTTAAAAATCGAAGTGATCAAACCAAAGGCTTTATAGAATCAATCACATAAAGAAGAAAACAAAGTACTAACCTTACCACCTATTCGGACCTGAGCCTGAAGTTTTGCTAGTTTCTCCTGATTCATTGTGGACCTAAAACAAAACAAAAAATTAACATTCCCCTTAAACAGCGATCTAACTGGACAGACTGTAGGAAAGAAAGCTAAGTAAAATATGTTCCAAATGACTGGGTGTAACGATGTATCTCATGTTGGAATAAGCATCCATGTGTATAAAAGACTCATAAAAAGAAGGTCTCATTTTAAATAGACTTTTTACTTCCACAGTTTTTGAGAGAGAGAAGAGAGGAGAGAGAGAAAAAAAACAAAACACGGGGCAAGCCTTGTTTGCCCCACGGGCACTATTCTGACACGTTAGTAAATGCAGCCCGTGAAACATTTCTGCCCCATTCTGTAATGTAACAACCACCTTGACAGGATCCTTAAGGTATTGTTCACACCATGTCCGGGTCATGTCCAGACCAAAACAGCATCCCAATGTCTCCCTATATTTCTGGGCTCTGTTCACACCAGCGCAATCTGATCCGATCCAGACGAGAGAAAAAAAAATATATTAAAAAAATACTGCTTGTCTCATTTTCACTGGTCTGGAATGCACTGGAACGCATCAAAAATGTATGCAAAAGCACTGGAACGCACCTGAAAGCCCATTTTAAGCTAGAAAAAAAAAAGAAAGAAAAAAATAACGGCAAAAATGCACTGTGTTTGCAGACCTGGTCCAGACATGGTGTGATCATACCCTAAAACTCAGAAGAGTGCTTTTTGAATTGTGGTAGAAAATTGAAGCACTTCAATGAGACTTCAAATTGCTAGGATTGGAGCCCAAGACACTGCTACAGGACATCGGTACTAAAGAACATTGAGCTACCACGCTGCTTCTATTTTCCTTCACCAGAGCAATAAGAAATTCTACATACACTAAAGAAAGCAAGCTCAGGTACACCCACACTATTGCCTTTTATCAGCATCAGCTTGCATAGAACAGAATGTGCAGTAGGTTTTACATAGTATTCAGCTTTAGGGAGCTTTGCTGCATCTAAAGCAAATTTCAGCTCCAGTCTGGGGAGGTTAAGATCTGTGCAGACAGTGTCAAATTAGAGGGCCACCACTGTGTAGGCAGCAGTGACCAGACCCAAAATGTCATTTCTACAATGCAGATTTGATAATAAAAATAAACAGACTGGTTAGCTCAGGCAACAGACTTGCATCTCATACACAAGGCCCATTATTTGGGCTGAAACCGTTTCTCTCTGCCAAATACACAGGGTGGAGAGGCCTGGATGTTGTAAAACATTCCAGTTATTATGTCCCATTAACTCTACCTACAAAATTTATTATGAGAGAGTAGAACTGTTTATATAATAAAAAAAATGTTGCTTGCGCTAAGAAAACGCATGGAAATATTTAAGGCTCTGTTCACACCTAGGCGTATCGAATATGCGTGTTTGTCGAGGCGTGTTTACCGCGATTTGCGGTAAAAACCGCGCGCCAAAAGCGCGTTTCCGAGGGCTACTTGGCTGTATCCCAATGGAAACGCGCGACAAAAACGCCGCAATGAAGCTCATGTACCTTTTCAGGCGTAGGCCGTTTTGTAGCGCGTTCAGACGGGCTGAAATACGGCAAGGTGTGAACCATACCCATAGAAAACAATGGGATTTTCATGTTTGAGCGTTTTGTAGAGTGTTCGTAGAGCGTTGAACGCGCTACAAAACGTACAGGTGGGCAAAGAAAAAACAAACAAACTGCTCTGCTCAGCAGATGAATAGAATGGTAGTCTTCATAGGGATCACCGCCTCTGCTGGTCTTGCTTTGTAGGTGATGACGTAAGAGTGCCCACCAAGTTACCGAGAACATCCAGAACAAGCATGCAAAAGCTATAGTCAAAACTGCATGCTTGTTTTCAGAGTCTCAGAATCATTTGGATCAGCATGACCGAGGGGAACCTAGAGATTGCAGAAATACAGGCAAGCAAAGCAGCCTATAGACCCCAACAACAATACAGCTTTTCTGTTAAACAGAAGTTGCCGAAACCACCGATTTTTCACTGCTGACAACTCAAAATTAAAAAAAAAAAGCATTCCAAAAGGTCTTTTAAAAAGCTTGGCAGGATTAAAAAAAAAAAAAATTTCAAAGAATCTATTTAAAGCAGAAATTCAGCCCCCCCAAAAAAGGACTAGTTCACTAAAATGTAAAATAACAAACCCAGCTTTTGCTGCAATATTCACCTTCAATACAGAGCTCCCCCCCCCCCCCCACCTTTTTTTTCTT